TCCTTCCTGCTGCTGCGGTTCCTCCATTATTTACACCTGGAGGCTAGATCTTGTGAACAACTTCATTGCTATTCCCAATCTCCGGGGAAGTTAAGCCTGGCTTTAAGATATTCTGCCACTGGGTTTTTTTCTGGCCATGAGATCAAGCAGAAATAGCCACACCGGGTGTTCATGCAGAGGCATACCCTCTCTGGCTAGAACTCATAAAAAAAAAAGCTTGAACTTTACCAAATCTTCGAAAACCAGGCTTGAGCAGGATCTTTTTCCAGCCTGATTCTAGATGGCAGCATTTTAAAAAGATTTCTGTTTCTTCCTTCCTTTCCCACAAAATCCCAACACCCCCAACCCACTTCAAACTTTTCTTCAGTCCCTCCGATCCAACTAGGGAGCGATGAAAGCAGCCCAGGCCCACTCTGAGGACCATTCAATCTGCCTAAATCTCCCTTCTGCCGCTCCTGCTCTTTCACAACAGCTGCGTGGTTCCCGTGGGGTGAGCAATGCCTGTTTGTGTGCACGTGCCTCTCTCCTCTCAACCTGGGAGGACCCAAGCTTAGGTCATATCCTGTTTTGTGCCAGACAGGTATGGTTAAGGAACAGGATCATTATTTTGTAGCTTCGTTACTCATTCTTAAGGCCCGCTCATGCCACAGGCAGGCTTTGGAAACCATACAGAGACCAAACAGCCCAACTACCTTCCTGCTGCTTGTTGGCTCAACATTATTCCTCATCACCAATGTACATGTGGCACTGCCAACAACACCCACAGGCTGGCACACCTGAGATGACTCCCAAAACAAGTATTTGGTCAGAAAAAATGCACAGACTCGATCTGAGCACATCATTCTACTGCTGTGACACTGACCTTCCCTCCCCTCTCATTATCTCCTAGCAAACCAGGCTCCTAGGCCACAACTGATGCTCTAAGGTGTTCAGCCCACCTTTAAGCACTGCCAAAAAAAACCCCTATTTGTTCTTTTCAGCTTCTTTTGAAAACCATCCAGTGTCCTTTTTTGCATATGTAGTGTCTTAGTGTCTACGGAGGGAACTCAGGAGAGGCAGGGATCCTTTTCTTCAGCAGCCAGATGAGGTCCCTGGAGCATTTCTATTTATCACACAGCTCCAACCAGGCTAGGGGAGTCACTGCAAGGCGGTCTCGGCAGCTGGCCTGCCCCTGGGGGCAAGATGCCTTCTGATTCTGCCCGACAACGGTTTATGTAACCTCAGACTCCACATGCCCTCCCCTAGAGAAGGATGAATTCAAGTTCTTCCCACCCTCGAACTCTCTCTTCCATCCGCTCTGAGATCAAATAAACAACGCCTTGTGCCTTTACAAACACCTTTCATGCCAGCCTTTTACAACACTTTGCAAACACTGCAAGAAGCTTCACAACTTGGGGCAACAGCTGGAAGAGCAAGTATTAACACACCTGTCTGATGTACAAGCATGGGCAACTAGTGCCTCCTGTGTCTGGTGGGGGCACCCGCAGAAGCCGGCGGCAGCATCAGTGGCAGGGACGGGGCTAGCGAGCCTCCGCAGAAACCGCCGGTGCCAGTGGCATCGGTGGCGGGGATGGCCTTGTTAGGGGGGGCACATGCCCCCCCATCAGGTGTCTATGTGAACAAGGAAGCTGGAAGAGGGACAAAGCAATCAGACCCCAGACTTACAGCATAAAGTGGGATCCTCTACTTCTGTGCCTAACCCCCAAATCAGGCCTTCTTTGCTCAAAGCCACATAGGCAAACTTTGAACAGATCCCTTTGGTTTCTCGTGCAATGTTAGCTCTCTCCAGATCCTGCAAACAGAGCTAACACCCCAAGTGCAAGGCAGTCAGCATGTGAAAATACTAAGCCCCATTCCAAGCACAGCTAAGCCTTTTACTCCATAACCAAGGATCCTCACAGTGACTGCTGGCTATTTTGGAAATCTACCTTCTTTTTGCAAAGGGACTACACATAGGAATGGGTAATGTAGCACCTGAACACACACAATACGTTATATATTTTCTCTTAAACCAAACAATGGCACTCAGTGGGAAGAAATGGCTATAGAAATAGGCAAATTTGCAAACAATCCTGGAAATTTCACTGAAAAGACTTTAGTGTCAAACTAGATTACCAAAATAAAAAGCAGTCAAACTCCATGCTGCTACACTGGAGGGAAAGTCAGGTTTCTAATACAGCTAATGGTTCTCGCTAGCATTGTTTTGGAGCAACTTAAGACGACTGAAGGATTATCCTGAAGCAAAGCAGAGGCAAGACAAGTGGTTTCATTGGAAAAGTTTTTATGCTTTGCAACATATATACATTTGGACAATGCTGTTGAAGCCAGCAGCCTATCTGGAACCAGAAGAAATGTTAAGTCTGTCTGTCACATACGGCAACTAACTGCCATCTTCAGTGGACAGATACAATATTAAGAACAAATTCTTAATGTATGGGCTCCAACAAAGCCCTTTCAACAGGTCTCCCAGCATGCTCTCAAGCGCTCTCTGAAAGAAGATTTATTCTTTGGATCACCCCAAAAAAACAAACTTTTCCCCTTACAGAGTTTGAAATCCCTTCATTTCAAAGAATGAATAAACGGGACAATTTTGCCTGGTCTTTGACTGGACCAATGTCTAAAACCCCTCTCTACTGCAGCAGTGTAACTTCGGGGGAGGCAGCAGGGAGCAGGTCACCCACCCTGGGCCCCTAGAGGAGGTGCCAGATCTCCCCTGGCAGTTTTTGCTATGCGGGCACAACCCTGCGCTGCCCAGCCATGTAGTGTTTGGGGAAGAAGGGGCAGCAAAATGGCACTGCCATCCGTGCGGGGAGGCACAGTTCCCCACCCTCCCTAGATATGCTACTGGATGGGAACAGGGTACTAGGGGGCAGCCCCGAATGTGGGGCTATTGCAGCTGACAGAGGCTCACTGCACTGTCTGGACCCCTGCAGCATGGGGGGCAAGGAGGGCACATTCTGGTTCTCCTACTGCAGATATGACCCCCCCACAACAATCCCTGCTCAAGGCACCGCAGGAGCTCACTACACCTCTGCTCTGTAGTATCAAAGAACTTGTAACAAATGGGGATTTTACCCCACAGGTTGTCCAGCTTCCTTGAGTGGGTGTGGGACAAACCACTGCTTAAAGTCTGACATTTCAAGCTGAATAATCAGCAGCACTGACTGAGTCCATGGGATTCTGCAGGTTCTTCCGGTGGCTCTGCCAAAGGCCTCCTACCTGATCCTGAGCAAGTCATCCCCTCTGTGCCTTAGTTCCCTGTGAGAGGGATAAAAACACTAATTTTTCCTGATTGGGACCTGTGATAAAGGGTAATGAGCTAATGCCTACAAAATGCTCTGAGATACTCTGCATGCCAGCTATTATTAACAACAGACTTAACCTGAATGTTTCACAAGCATCTTGGCTAAGTACAGACAGTCAAAAAGCCTGAGGCTGAATCGATTCCATCTTTGCAGGTTAGTCTAAGCTGTGCAGGGAGAACCGATCAGCAAGTGAACAGACATTCACTTTTGATTCAGGAAATGCAGCCACCTGCCTGCACTGGCCCAGGCCAGAAGCTGTGGGGCGCTGCAGCATACATCCCTGCTCCACTGGAGCAGACAGCTTGGGCCAAGGCTAGCCTGCCCACCCTGAGAGGGGGCCATGCAGGGGAGGTGCAAAGCATCCTGGGATGCTGGAGGACTGCGAGTTAACTTGAATCCGGAGGGGTCTGGGACTCAAGTTCAATAAGCTGATTTAACATAAATCAGTGAAGTCTGATACTACAACGATCCGGGTTTATCTTACTCTGGTTTAGGCCATTTTGAAAGTGGTTTATGTGCACTGAACTTTGGTTGCATTACAGATTTGAACCAGTTTCGGATCACTTATACCAACTTATGAGCAATTTCTGTCCCTCGTCCTTCTGTTTCCTGAGGCAGCATCACACGGAGCACCCATACAAGTCATTAAGAGTGACAGCTCTCAGAGTTAAGCCACCAAGAAGCAGCTGTCCATCGACGCCCCACTAGCAAGAGGAGGAAGCCTGACTTGAGAAAAAGCAGTCCTTCCCCACACCCAGGCCCAAAACTGACGCAGCAAAGGGAACAACACCAGAAACCATTTACTAAGCATCATGGGTGCAGCAGGAACTGCAATCCAGGGAAAAGGAGCTGTGTCACAGGATAATGGATTCCTGTTGCAGAAACTAATGCATGACAAGCCAAAAAGGAGTCATGCCTGGAGACATTAAACACTGTCCTACCCCATCACTAGTAACACTCCTATTAGACAGAGGCTGATCGGCTGTAACTGTTTGGGTCTCAATATTAGGAAAAAAGCCTCAACTATGAGCTTCTTTAACCCCGCATCATCACGATCGGGTGACCGAAGTGCACAAGGGTGCGACGATGATGGACCTGTTTCTGGCGTCAGGGTCTGAGAAGGATAAACCGTTCCACGACTGATAAACTTCCACAGCACAAAAATTTGCCCCCGAGCATCCTGCAAGCAGCCCTGCTCCCAGGCGGCGCACACATACTTTACACTTCCCGGCATATAAGCAGCTTGTGACTGGAGAGCCACTTCCCAGCCCCGGGCTACCCGCACGCTGGACACCTTAAATGGCATGATGACAGCCCCAGAACCAGGAACTGCCCCCCAATTTCAGGCCTCTCCACATACCCTTTAAAGTCCTGGGGGCAGAGGGAGCAAAGGAGCAACCCCCTGTTGCCCTCGAACTGGACAGTATGCCTTTGTTGCACCGCAGCTGGAGGCTTTTAAACACGAGGCTGCCCATAGCTCTTTATTTTTGTAGCGCTACATAAGATAATGTCACGGGGGGGCTCCCTTAGTACACAACCCGCCTCAGAAAGAGGCATCCACATGAATGCCAAGCCCTGAATAGGAGTCGAGGCAAATTTCCTGACTAATAGCTAACCACCACCTTCTTATGGACACAAATGATCAGGAAGCGTGACGCACAACAGGGGCATTCAGTTCCAAATCAGGATGTCTCCAAGCTGAGACAGTTTCATTTTGCTTAGCTCCAGCAAGACAGATTACAATTGAGTGCATACAGCTGCAATGTCGCACCTGAAGATAGACGAGGAGGTAGGACTCTGCTACTGCAAGCTGAACCAACTAATCTGCACCTCTGACAGTGCAGAGAAATTAGCAGTTAGTCTGAGTTCCCATGTTACAATAGAAGTCGTCATCAACATCTCCTAAAGTGCACAAAAGGACAGATGAACTTTTCAGTCCATGTCCCTGACACCAGAGCAATTTCTTTTTGCTTAAAAGATGCATGCAAGTAATCTGGGCATTGCAGGAGCGTGTGTCTATTGGGTGGGGTGGGGAGAAATCACATAGTCCATTCTAGCAGACACCCCCCAATTTGCAATGGAAAGCTACTATTCCCAACCATTTTCAAGGATACTCACTTCCCGTTTTTCTTTTTGCAACCTGGAGAAAGTGTCACAGGACAAAAAGTCAGCATCGTCTTTGTGCTGCTGCTCCTCATACCAGAATCCTGAAGCAATAGTACAAAAGAGCCAATACAACGCTCTTTCACAGAAACTAATGTCAGCATCTTATTATGCACAGCGCGTGGAGGAGCTTTCCTTGTCTTGAAGAAATTATAGTCTAACGGGTCTTTTACTATTATTTTTATTGTGAAAGAGGGTGGTGTGAGACCCAGCTCCTCGCCTCAGCAATGTTAAAAGCCTGCATGGAAAAAGCAGGTCTTAAGGAAGAACGTGAATGAGACGGGAACAGCCCAGTAGGGCGCAAAATGGAAAATGTTCCCCTATCAGGTGCACATAAGCAAGCAAAAACAGGAAAAGCACCAAGGGAGCAATTATAAGAATTGAGGAGTAACACAAGCTGCAGCCAGGCTGTGCAGGCAAACCTCGACCTTGATGTGGAAAGCAAGAAACAATCACAAACACTGTCTACATATTGTCAAAGAGCCCTGATGACTGCAGAGGGAGCTTCAGTTGTTACAATTAGCAGCATCTTGTATCAGAACCGATACAAGTACAAGTTTAAAATATAGCGCACAATTTTATGGGAGACACAGATTGCCTATCAGAGCCCCAGAAGGTCAGGATTTCCACAGCCCCAAAGGAAATGGAAGATACAGGTCCCATGTTCATAGCTGCACGTTCATAGTTTCACCCTGCTTTTTTGCTGGCAGCGCCATGCAGGAAATCTGATTCAGTTCATGGGATGGATCACTCAGGGAGCTTACAAAAACGTAGGCAGGCTCAAGAAAAAGCAGTTCCTGCTATGATCCAGTGTAACCAAGAAAAGAGTTTAACAAAATCATGCAATCCCATTAAAAGTGTCCTCTGCTCCAGAGGACTGGAGAGAAGCAAATGTTATCCCTGTTTACAAGGAGATGATTTTCTACTCAGTTGCACCCAAAAAAAATCAAGCAGGACAGTGGGTTGTGTAGGGATTGTGATGATGAATAATACAAACAATATTAAAAAGGAAGGCATCTTATAAAGAAATAGCACGGGTTGATCTGAAAGAGTATGTTCAGCTTTGGCCAGCCCACCTTAGAAAGAGATTAACATTTAATGAAATGAGACTGACCCAGGACTGAAAAGTTTCCCCGATGAAAAATATGGGGAAAAACAACTAGGAGTATGTACCTTGAAAAGGCCATTAATGAAATAGCAAACAGAGAAAAGATCTCGAGAGTCTCAGTCCTCTGTGTCTCATTTGGGGCAAGGGAAAGTTAGATTCAATTAAAAAGATAGGCAAGTGAAGGAAAGGAAATACTTTCCCATTCAACATGCAATCAAACTGTGGAACTCGCTGCCGGAAGATGTCGTTCAGGCTAAGCTCTTAACAAGACCTAAAAAGGAGCTGGATTGTTTTAAGGGCATCATAGAAAACACCAAAAGCTTTACAGAAGGGATATCAAATGTCACGCTTCACGGTTTAAGCTAATCACGTGCTATCGGAAGCCAGGAGCAGACCTGATCTGAAGGCTGGATTACTACACATCTGCCTATAACAAGCTTCCTACATCTTTTGCAATCAAACCAAACTATCAGGAGAAGCAGGAGAGGCTGCTGGATTATACAGAGCTCATGTCTAATCCACCGGGGCGATTCCTCTGTACCTGCCAGAAAGGCAGCGAATTAAAAGAACTGAAATGAAGGGCAATTCAACATACCATATCTGCAAGTCCATGGTCACTTGTCTTCTATCGATTTCTTTGGTATAGACTTTTACTCCATTGATTCTCGGGCACTGAAAGAAGAATACACACGAGCTAGGACACACATTGCTTCTTTTCACTAGGGGCCAAATAAGGAGCTTGACCTTTTTCATTCAACTCATGGACAGAGTCGTTGTGAAAAGCTTTCACCAGATGATACCTTAAAACGAGCGAGTAAACTGCCAGGGTTGGTTCAGTTACAACGAGCATTTAGGAGCAAGGTGGAGAATGAATGTTGTTAAAGTGAAACATTTACTGAGCAAGTTTATTGTTTCACATTTCTCATGTACCAGGGCAAACTGGACACCTGTCTAAGAGCTAGCAGCAGGACGGTCTTGACAACACAACGTTCCCAGCGCTGAATGCTGTTGAGCAACAGCAACACAAGTCCAACCTCAAGGGCCCAGCCCACAACCCAAATCCTGCCGGGCAACCTTGACAGTCTCAAAGAGGAGACTAGGTGCAAGCAAGTCATGCTGTATTTCCCAGATTTACAAGGAAAGCATTCAGCTACTTGTAATGGAGTTGTGATATGAATGGAGGCTGATACGGGGTTATATGCATTTCCCAGCCTCAATAATGCAACATGGGCAATTGTTCTAAAAGGCCAACCCCCCAGTCATTGGTACAGTGTCGGTGATCCCTAAATGTGGTTACATCCTTCTTCCATTTATGCTGAGGGGCCTGTTTAAATAAAATAATGGAAACTGAGGGCAGGATGGCTTCAAAAGAAAACGTATCAATGGGAGCTCCAAAAGGACCGCGATAGTGCTTCAGTCCCCAGCATTATGGTAACAAAGGACTTCGTGCTCAAATCCCCCCCATGTTTGGTAGCTCAGCAGAGCAAACTCTTGTCACAACGGTCCAAGGAACCTGTCCTACCTTCTCCCCAAAGTGGATTTTGGAAAAAGTACACGTCTTCAGATGTGCGTTCTTTGCTCTGATCTTTGGCTCAATTTTTTCCCGAAAAGTTTTCTCCATGACCTCCCCGAAGTACGGCCAGGCCTGTTCAAGGATCTACAGGGTATTGAAAGCACAAACATGCTGATAAGTCTCTGTACAAGATGCATCTAATGCAAGAATAACTTGCGTTTCACAGCACATTAACCACCGTGCTTTTTAAAATTTAAAACAAGACCTGTGGTTTTTAATCCCGCTTCCAAATGGGACTTAATTGCATCCTGTGGGCTGTTAAAGCTATTCAGAAGCATTTTAACCTAGTTATCTATGTTCTGCCTTGTACATGTTCATTTTTTCTGCACCAGTTACTGCCTTTTGCGCATTAGAATCAGGAATTTCACAAGGGATCAATGATTCTTCCTTGATCAATCTGAGATACTGTGAAAGCATTTGATTGTCAGATATTTGGTGGCATTCATCTTTGGAAAATCTGGCTCCACTAAGGAAGCTCATAAAATACCACATTTACTCAAATCTAAGATGAAGTCACCCCCCCCAACCAGCGTGAGGGGGAAAGCCCCTCATCTTAGATTTGAGTACAAAGTTCAGGGAGAAGGTCAGGGCCAGAGTCAGACCCAGAGCAGCTGCCTGCCCCCTCACCTTGTGTACCCTCCTTGGGGGGCATGAATAATTAGATTCTACACCTGGAAAATGATAACACATTTATAAATCTTCCATACATCAAATCTAATTATTGGGGGGTCATCTTATATTCAAGCAAATATGATAAGTTTATTGGTACCTAGGCTCGCTAACTACAGGACTGTTTTGGCAGTGTTTCGAATGCAGTACAGAGGTCGGCCTGCCGTTCTTAACAAGTGCCCCAAAACTTAATGTTTTGGCTCAAAAGCGTTCGAGTGTAGTGCATTCTATACTAAACCAAATTTGGGGAGAGTGGTTCATTTTGATAAGAAAAAAAATTAATTTCAAGTCAATTCAAATGAAATGTTTCAATTTTGTAATGGGAAAAAAATAAATAATGATTGACAAGAGCTTTAAAAGGTGGAAAAGAGGCAATGTAACCTCCATCATCTGGACAAGCGCTTGGCTCAAACTAAATCTACTCAGGCTTCATGTGTTTAAAATATGGACTTCCTAAAACAGCAAGCTGTTATTTTTATTAAACGGGAGAGTGAAATTTTGTGTTGGCAGCTAACCCCACAGTAGCAATGGCTCAAGAACGATGGTGCCAAAAAGTTACACTTCAATTAAAAACTTCTCACCTTGTTCAGCCACTCCACGCGTTCCACATCGGGGAAGTGAACCTAATTGCACAGGAAAATAAAGTGAATCATTGTGACCAGAGCAAATTAGTCACAATTGTACTACCTTTATGAAGACATAATGAGGATATTGTTTTAAAACCTGTTTCATTCACAAACAGTCATGCAGAGCTTGGAGGTATACAGTTTCTAGACATGTATTTGATCTTGCATCTGAATGTCCTAAACGCTGTTTATTGTTGTAGTGTATCTTCTATAAACACATGCACGTGTCCTATTGCCTCTGAGCATATTTACATAATTGTCAATTAAAAAATTAAAGCCCTACACTTCCCATTCCCCTCTTTGTCAGGCTAAGAACTAAAATGAATGATACTGGAAAAAAGGGCAGTACCAAATTGTATATGCCAATATCCACGCTTCAGAGCTTTAAAAGGCCTACCTACATGACTGATCTACCGTATTTACTCAAACATAAGACGAGGTTTTTTCCCCCAATCAACATGGGGGGTGGGGGAAGAGCCCCTTGTCTTAAATCTGCATCCAAGCAAACCAAATTAAATACATTGCCTATCTTTGAACTGCTGCTAAAAGCAGCGTGTGCTCAATAATGAAAACCAACTGTGAAGCTGATTAAATGCAGCCGACACTGAGCATGACTATAAAGTACATGTCCCATATGGGGCAAACATGCTGCCCCCCCCCCCTCTTTTTGGGGGGAGGTGGCAGAAGCCTTGGAGTTCAGATGCCCCCTAGTCTTGCTTGCTCCTAGCCAAAAGGCTGAGAAGCAGCTAGGAGAAAAGCATGCAAGCAGTCCCCCACTGCCACAAAATTGATGGGAACCTTCTTTTTGTATCGCACTCAAAAAAAAGGGGGTGGGGGCAGTTGTTCCCCCAGGAGGTAATGAGCACCAGGCCTGGAGGCACTGTAATACCAGGCGAGCACTCGGAGAGGCCTCCAACACCCTCCCCTGGTGCCAAAAATGCATACTTTTTTCTTTTAAGAATTTTTTGGGCCAAATCAGTTCCAACTTTCAACTAAGCAGAGCTCAACCATTCAAGTCCGTGTGGCGCTATCGCCAGCAAGTATCCTACCTCTCAGACTCATCGGTCTGGGGCTTCAGATACTCCCAAATCCATGGCAGGCTTCCCATGTGCAAGCCCCAAGCCTAGTGGCCTTGGAGTTCAGATGCCCCCTTCTCTTACTTGCTCCTAGCCAAATGGCTGAAGAAACAAGCTAGGGGGAAAGCGTGAAAGCCATCCCGCACATTGCCATAAATTATGTAGCTAAGATCTTTGCATTTGGAGGCATTTCTGGACTCCTGTAAGGGTCAGTCTGCCCTCAGTGCAAGGTACAGGCCTTCACCTCCTCGGTACACCGAGTCATTCAAGGCCAGGAAGATGGTATCTCCCCTGCCAGGTAAGCTTCTTTCACATGACTTGAAGTCCCTCCTCTCTCCCACTACCAAAATCACTTGCTCTTAGGGACAGTGACCAACAAATGGTTGGCATGAAGTCTGGTTCGTCTTCTTGAAAGCTTCACATCGCATGGCTATCTCAATGCCATTCAAGTGCATGCAGCCACTGATGCTGGATTAGTTTTCATACAGACTCACAGAGATTCTTGCATTTTCCAACATTTATGAAGTGCAATTCGTAGGGGGCAGAAAGAGCGCATCACCACAGGCCACTGAAAGCAAGGTTAAGGAAGGGGGTGGGGCAAGATCCCATTTAGAGTTGGCAGGAAGCTCTGCACAGAAACACTCCTCAGAGGTTTCTTGCTTTTGGTTACTTCAGCTGAGCAAATAGTTCTTATTGTACGAATTAGGCAGTGCTGTTCTGAGATACGCCGATTCTCCAGCGCCGCCCAGATGTGCTCTGTATATAAATGGAGGATGGGGGCATGGGTAGAGGTAAGGACTTGTCACAAAATGTTCCAAGACGCCCACTCTTCCAGCCCCGAACTTGCCAAAGCCCCCAACTTGTTTGGCTTCGATGATCTAAAAGGAAATATCTCCTTTTCATAGGCCGACCTGGAGCGCACTGAGATGCCCAGCTACGTTTACATGCAAAGGCTCTGAAAAGGACAGTCAATACAGATAAAATGCTGCCGCCATTTAATGTGAAGCAGGATAACAGGAACCAGGTGATTTCCCCCTCCACTGTCAGCCTTTTATTTTGCAGAGAAAGGGGCTTTGAGGGGAAGGATGTGGTGCTGATGGAGTTGGTCAGTTAGCAGCTTCCAGGTAACAAATATTTATAGCATTTATCGCATGGCCCACCTGAACTCGGGAATCACTGTCATTATAGCCATTTTAATGGATGAAGGGGCATGTTTTTGTAAAGCACACTTTAGAAAACTGAAAAAAACCCCAGCTCTTAATTTTTCATTCTCCCCACACCCTCCATCAATTGTACTCTGGAAACACCACAGCAATGTTCCAGATACAAGACTTAAGTTGCCTGGCTAGTTTGCATCATTATAGCAATTAAACATGAACAGGCACCAAGGGACTTGGGTTCAAATCCTTACACTGCCAGGCTTTCCATTTAACTGGGCAAATCAATCTCCCCATCGCTTAGTTTTCCACCTGTAACCTGGGATAATAGCACTGGTCTATCTAGGATGTTGCGAGGATTAAGGCAAGCAGAGTCTATGTTGAGGCCACTTAACTACATAAAGCAAGTAAACTAGGCTACAGGTGCACATATCAGGTACATTGTGGAGCATGACACACGGAAAGCATTTCAATTAACCCAGAAGAGCTACCGTTTTATCGTACTGCCCAGTATAAAGGACATGTTTCCGAAGTGGATATATATGTGCATACAGCTTAACAGGGGGATGCATCTTGCAGGGCTGTTGGGGAGGTTTTTGCAGAAAGAATTTCCCAATGACTTTTAGGAAATTTTGAACAGACAACTGTCCCACCCCACAGATGTCACTGAAAACACAGAGGTTTGCAGATGATCCAGTTTAAGAAACAGAGGTCCTGAGTACAGGTGCTCCAAGTACAGGGAACACAGCCTGCCCTATTTTCTTACTCGTCACTATTGATATCAAGCTCATTCTTGAACCCAATTAAGTCAATGCCATAATTCCCAGTATTATGCTAATATATTTAAGACCATTCTCAAAGTATATTTCCCCTGCAGCTGCCTTCTCGCCCTCCCCTGGTATACCTGTGGTACAGTGATGATGACATTTTTCTCTCTAGAGAAATCCCACCAGGACTTTAACAACTTCCATCCCTCCATCAAAATGACCCCTGAATACTTCACCCAGCAAATTCATTTCTTGGAAATCATGGTGAAGCTTTGCAATAGCCATATGGCCATCACGCTGCACTGGAAATCAACCGATCACTACAGCTGTTTTTGTGCCACCAACTTTCGCCTAAGCATGCCACTAGTTCTGCCATCTACAGCCAAGCTCTGCGATACAACCAGATCAGCTCCGATCTCATCAACGGCAATGCACACCTTAGGATCCTGCTACAATACAAACCCCATGACATGAACAACAGAATCATCCGTCTTGTTACTGCCATCAGCCCCCAGCTGGAACAACTCGGGCACATCTTTGATGAGCTTCAGCCTCTACCGGAAGGACGGTCTCAAGGTAGAGACTCGCAGGCAGTTCTCCTCCCTCTCCCCACCACCTGTGAACCTCAAACAGCATCTCTCCAGCGAGACTGCCTAACTTAAATTCTCCCCAGGCCACCAGAGCTTGCTACACACCCAGATGCCAGCTGTGCCTCCTCATCACCATAAACCACACCATCGCTACCAAACCACAAGAAACATGACCTCGGGCATTCAATCACCTGCTTCTCTAACAATGTCACACACATCGTCACCTACTGAGAGTGCCCTCTGCATGGGTGCATCTAGGGTGAAAAGAGGATGCAGGAGATGCAGCTGGTTCTGCAGGGGTGGCAGCAGCCACATACACCCTCAACAGCACCAGCTGTCAGGGCCTTTTTTTGCCTGCCCTCACCCCCCAACCTCTAGGTAACCACCCCCTCTGGTCCCCAGCAGTGCTTTTCTTTCCCCTCCCCTCCTCCTCAGCAGGGTTTCCCCAGGTTTGATTTCTGGCACAGGGAACAGGGACATGTTCACCGCTGCCACTGTCCCCAGCTGACCGCTGCCACTCCTGCCCCACGCCAGCTGGGGGCTTTGGCAAGCGGCTGCTTGGGGTGCCAGGCTCAGAGGGGACAGCAGCGATGAAGGGCAGGCTCTTATTCTACCATCTGCTCCCTGACTTAAAGACCTAAGCCCAGAACCAGAAGCAAGCAGCTGCTAAGCTCAGCACCACACCGGAATAAGACCTCCCCACAGCCTTGGTCGAGTATTCGTTTTCCCATCTCTAACTCAGGAACGAAACCTGCCAGTATCTCAGGAGGAGTGCAAGAAATAATTAGTGCTTGGGAAGAGCTTTAAAGATCAAAAACGCCATGCGAAGATTAATTACTACCAAGCCAGGGAAGTATATTGTTTCTGCAAGACGCCTCCTTCCCCAGAGGCAGGCTACACCTAGAGCCATTTCTATGATGAGAGTTTTTGACATGTCTGAAATGACAGAGCACGTCTGTTGGGTTTTCTAGAAATACTGACTTTAGCACTGTACGGCGGCTCCGTGAATCACGGGTAGTTTGGCTCGATTAAGGAGCTGAAAGTCTTTTAAAAAGGCACTCCTGATAACATGGGGAAGGACTTTCCCATAGGTAGGCTACATGGATGCATACAACAGGATGACAGCCTCATTTTCTCCTCGGGCACAACCAGCCACCCTTGCAACAGAACTGTTAGGAAATACAGTATTCAACACGGGGACTAACAGTCACCCAGGAAAATTAAGTATAATGTCATGGGGAACAAACAGAGTGCTGTGCTGTTTGGGGCTCCCACATTCTCTGGGGGTAAAAAAGACATCTAGACGTCCTACTCACAAAACTATTTACAGCAGCTATTTACATCAACCCATGTTCACAGAGCCCCCCCAAGCTGTTTCCCACCACAGTTGCAGCCTAGAACTGCCCA